ATATTATATACAAATAAATGCTATTGTAAAAACATGTCAATGCTCTTCGCTAATTGCTTTGTATTTTGAGCCATCTCTATCAAGTAGCTTCTTGAAGCGCTATACAAATAGTTCATGAGCTTGTTCCGTCAAGATTTTCTGGAGAATGTTGCTACATTTGCTACAAATTTAACGAAAAAGATGAGATCGAGAGAAGGATACTTATGTAAGTATAAATACTTTTAAACTATTTACAAATACAAAGCAATGCAATTTAAAAATTCGATGACAAAAATAAATCATAAACTGTAAAAGTTGGTTTATTGTAATTAAATAAACTACATAAACGTATAAATATTTTTACACTTTTTTATCTTGTTTAAAATAACATTAAACATGTATGTTTAAATTATTAAAAACACCTAAACTGTTATATAACATATATAAGATTACCTAAAATATTCTATATTATTCTTAAAAAAATATGAGGTCACCTAATTTTTTTCTAAATTATTTTGTAAGTAAAACATGTCGAAAAAAGTTTAATGAAAATGATCCTCTATCTCATTAACAAAATATGTGTTTGGTCAGCACTAGAGATTAGAACCTCTGCACCAAGAAAAGAAGTTAAAGTGGAAAAGAGAAATGAAATGCCTTTTATCTGTGTGCGATTACATAGTAGAGTTCAGTCCCACACTTCACACTCTCAAAGATGGGACCAAAGTAGAGGTTTTAACCGAACTTTCAAATTTTTTTTTTTTTTTTTTTTTTTTTTTTTGCAAGAAGGGAATACTAGACAGCTTTCAGGAGACCGAGTTCTGGTATGCCGAACAAGGCAGCATCTCGGCAAATTCGTCCCGTTCGGGAAGCTCGTCTTCACGCTCGGGCTCGTTTAGGAGAGTAGTTGCCCAGCCTCAGTCTCAGCGTACGGATGAAAAGTGGTGGCTGCCCATTCCCTGCGTGGTCCCAGACGGGCTCTCGGAGGTATCCAAGAAACATTTGAGACAAAAACGTGACTGTGCGTACCAAATCCACAAGGCAGCCATGGCCATAAACAGCGGCATTCTTGCCGAGATGCAGATTCCTGAGTCTTACACGGCGTCCCTTCCTAAGGTGTTGACCTTTTTTTTTAAACAATTTATTCTGATAAACCCGAAAAATCCAAGGTTTGAAACTGGGAAAGCTTTTTTTTGGGGGTGAGAGGTGGCAAAAGTTATAAAGTTCTTTAAGGAGGGAAACTGGGAAAGTAGAAGTATGTTGAAATTTAAAGATAATCTTGCAAAGCTGCCCCTGAAATCTAGTTTAATTGCAAAAGGGGCCGAATATTTTATTATTATTATTAATTATTAT